CAAATTTTACCTTTGAGAGTGCAAAAGCTTCGGCTCCGGCTGAAGCTTCGGCTTCGGCAGAGTGACTTTGGCTGAAGCTTCGGCAAAATCTTAGCTTCGGTGCTCTAATCTAGATAACTTGCTTGTATGTGGTACATCTATAAATAAACATGATTTCAATTTAGAAAAATTTCTTTTAAGAAAGCAATGTTTACGTTCAATGAAGAAATGTCTATATTGTCTACATCATGTATAATCTACCTAGGTTTTATTATAAAAAGTGGCTCTTTTTCCCTGATCCAGATCGCTTAAAGCCATTGACTAAAATACCTGCTCCCACTGACAGTGGTTATCTCCATCGAGTCCTTTGTATGTTACTCATACTACTCCCAATATATTAACACTACTCCCTACTAACTACTACTACTAACACTACTCCTTATACTACTCCCAATATAATAACATTTTTCTGACAAAATTCATTGTTTATCTCTAACTTCTACCTTTCCACTGTCAATTCAGGCTATTAAATGTTTCAATGAAATGAAAGAATTAATCTCTCAGTCAGCTCTACAAGCTATTGATAAAAGTATACCATTTGAGGTGGAAACAGATGCCTCTGATTTTGCCATAGCTGCCTCCCTTAATCAGGCTAGAAGACTAGTTGCATTTTTTCTCTCAAACTTTCACCTACCAAAAAAATACATTGTTCTGTTGAGAAGGAAGCTTATGCTATTGTCAAATCACTTTGAAAATGGAAACACTACCTTGTTGGTCGGCATTTTCCTCTAGTCACTGACCAGCGCTCTGTCTCTTTCATGTTTGACAATAACAAGGGTGGAAAAATTAAGAATGGCAAAATTCTGAGATGGAGGATAGAATTTTGTTCGTTCAGCTAAGATATAGTTTATAACCCTGGACATAACAATTTTGTTGCTGATGCCCTCACTAGATCTTGTTGCTCTATGACTATAAATGGTCCCTATCTTAAGGAACTACATGAATCTCTTTGCCACCCTGGAATCACCAGAATGTATCATTTCATAAAATCAAAAACACTGGCTTTTTCAATTGATTATGTAAAAAATACCATTTCTTCATGTCAAATTTGTGCTGAATTAAAACCTAATTACTATGTAAGCAACTTTAACCTTAACTCATCACAACTACAGTTGTTGATGAGTTTTCAAGATTTCCCTTTGTATTTCTATGACATGATATCTCTACTTTAACCATAATTAAATGTTCAATTCAACTTTTCACTTTATTTGGTATGCCAGCTTATTTACATTCAGATCAAGGCACTTGCTTCATGTCTAAAGAGCTCTGCAATTTTCTTAATTCTCGAGATGCAAACCTGAGTAAAACTACTCCTTATAATCCTCAGTGCAATGGTCAATGTGAAAGATACAATGGCATAATTTGGAAAGGAATTTTGCCTCTCAAATCAAAGAAGTAATCTACAATAAACTGGAAAAATGTTTTACCCGATGTCCTTCATTCAATGCATTCCTTACTTTGCACTTCTTCTAATGCTGCACCTCACGAACGGTTATTCGGATTCAGTCGATGTTCTTCTAATGGATACTCTGTTCCTACATGGTTACCAGAGTGTCGGATTCAGGTCCTGTATTACTTAAAAAGCATGGTTGAAGAGATTGAGCTTTTAGAAGCTAAAAGTAAATATTCTCATGTAAGAATGCCTGATCTCGCACTAATGGCTGATATAATCAGTGATATTGTTGGAAATAATAACTACAAAGATAATTCCAATAAATCTGATACAATCCCTTCATCTGAACCTCTCCATCTGAAATGATCTCAAAACTTTTCTACTCTCTCTCCAACAAATCCCAATGAAATTTCTATATAAGATTCAGTCCCTCATTGTTCAGGATGATCCCAGAATCCTCCTAAATATTTAAATGACTATATTTGAACAATTTGAAATTATTTACTTATTTTATTTATTTAGTATGGTAGAATGTGCTGATTTTTATAATAATTATTATCCTTGTTGAGTTTAATTATGTGTATATTAAAACTAATCTGTTTGTATATTTTAGTTTACATATTATTATATGAAGAATATAGCCTTCTATGTTGGCTTAGAATTAGTTATAGACTAATTAATGTACTAAACTACAATGTAGTATAGTACATTGTAGTATAGTAATATATATATATATATATATATATATATATATATATATATATATATATATATATATATATATATATATATATATATATATATATATATATATATATATATATATATATATATATATATATATAATCCTTCCCAGGAAAGGCGTGCAGTTTTTCGTCTCGTACGACCACGAAAACGTTTTTCAAGTTAGAGAACGTGATCACGGCTGTTTGCGCAAGTTTTATTATATGCGTTGCTGAAAAATTGTTTTAAATTTAATTACTATATAAGAAACAAATACGTAATTACATAATAAACTTAAATAGAAAACAATAATAATAGTTTAAATAATTTGTATGTTGTTTATATTTATTTTTTTTTCTTAGTGGTCATCATTATGGGCAATAAAATAAAAAATTCAAAGCAAAAAAAAAATAAAAAAAATAGTTTTAGGCGTTAAAAAGAATGACTTTTCCTTATTTTATGTGTTTATTCTTTGAAAGGGAAGGAGAAAATATGTATCGTCATCTGTTTGTAAAATATATTTGTATAATTATCATGTAACAAGTTTATATCAAGAGTTGAATTATACATAGTGATTTGCAAACTCTGGTAAAATATTTAGTCTTTAAAGTTTTAGTTCATGCAAAGCTGTGTACTTTGTTTATAAGGAGCAAATTATTAAAAGTTTGCTAGCAAGAAAGTTATGAAAAACAAAACAAAAACAATAAGCTTACGACTAAATAAGTAATAACACTTTAGTCACTAACTGCATTATAAAAGTAATAAAACTATAATAGTGTCATTACATTTATAAAGCACTTATTACTTTTAAAGTTCATTCTTTGTTCAAACAACAAAAGTTTTTCCAAATTTTAGTTTAAGTAGAAAAATATCTAGAAGAATAAAGTGGATGTTCAAATAATATTGAAACTTAAATAACTTATAAAAACGTGACAAACAACTTTATAAAAACGTATGGTATTAAAAGTTTAGCATTATAAAAAACGTTACTAATGGACCGTAAAAACGCCCGTTAGTTTTAAAATTAATCAATAAAAATTTTTTATTGTTAGATTTTAAAATTAACACGCGTTTTTACGTAATGTTTTTCATAATGCTATACTTTTTATAAAGTACTTTTTTATAATGTTGTTTAAGTGATATGTAAAAGTTCCTGAAATTTTTAATAATATTTATTAAAAATTTCAGGAACTATCAGCTTTATTTTTTCTATTTGCTTTTTTACTTTAATAATTGTATGGAATTAATTATTGTTTGAACAAAGAATTAACTTTAAAAAAAATAAGTGCTTTATAAATGTAATAACACTAGTATAATTTTATTACTTTTATAGTGCAGTTAGTTTCTAAAGTGTTATTACTTTTGCAGTTGTAAGTTTATTGCTTAAAACTCTTGGCCCTATAACTTTTAGTTTTGGGATTGGTCTTGTAACATGTGGCCTTGGCCATGCTACTTTTGGCCTTGTTAACTACTCTCTCTCTCTCTTTATATATATATATATATATATATATATATGTATATATATATATATATATATATATATATATATATATATATATATATATATATATATATATCCTTATAGTGTAGTCGAAAGAGACTTTTATGGTAAATTAAGTCTCTTTCGACTACAATTTTTTTACCTTGTCTCTTAAGCTGCATTTTATTGTCGTTAAAATGTCAAAGCAATTAAATTAATGCGGAAGTACATTAAATTTTATTGTTTTTTAAAAAAACCGCAATAATAATGACTAGAAAGTTTTTTTTAATTAGTGGTGTTTTTGTTTTATTAAAAAACATTTTTCAAACATGTGTAAGTGTTGCTACATCGACTATCTTATAGCCTGTTGCTACATCGACTATCTTATAGCCTGACTTGCAATGGAGTGCTGCTACATTGACTGATAATAGCCTGACTCACAAGGGAGTGCTGCTACATCAACTGAGGGTTTGATTTGGGCAGGCAGTCTATCATTAAAAAAAAAAAAAAAAATTTTTTTGAAGTTTTTTAACATTTTCTGGTCAGGCTTATTAACACGCTCTTTAAAACAACAGTTTATAGGAAAAACTTAGTGACTACCATGCAAGACTGTAGATTCAGTTTAAAGAATCAGCTTGTTGTGTGTGAAAAAAACAATATTACTTATAATTCAATTAACAGGATATTAAGATTAGCAGAATATTGTTGTTATAAATAACTGTTGTTATTAATTTAATTTTACCTATAGATTTTGGGCCTGTTTATATAAACATATTATTTAAAGTGAATACATTTTACTATGTCATAATAAGTAAAGATCTGAGATTGAGATTAGGTATTGTGAGTGTTTTTGATAAGATACCTCAGGTGAAACGATGTTGGTTTAAGCAAGTAGATGATTAGAGCTATTTCTATTTGGAATAAAATAAATATAATATAAATTATAAAATATTTTGGATGAATAAAAATGCAATGTCAATGCAAAAATTGATGAAACAAACAATAACATTTTTAGCAAATAAAAATTGTTGTTATAGCATCAGGTCTTAAATTTAACTTGCTGAGGAGGCAATAAAATTATTTTGCTTTGTCGCATTTTTATCTGACTTCAAAAGATACCTTTTTAAAAATGATTAGCTAAGATTTGTTATACATACTGTGCTTATTAAGCCACTACCAAGTTAAAGTCAATCCGGCTCACCTTGGGAAATGTTCTATTTATATTCAATAACATTATTTGCAATTTAAAAAATTTCAAAACATTGTTTTTTTTTGGGAAAAACAAAACAAACTACATTTTCATAGTTTCATTTAAGTATTGCAAAATAAAACATATCGTCATTTAAAATACTATTTTTGTGTCATAAATTGTTATAATAACAATAAGTTTGTCATTTTTAAATGAGTTTCCATTTTTTTTGTTGGGAAAAGGATACTTTTTGCAATGTTTTAAGATATAAAATATTATATAAAATTTAATACCTCTAAGAAATAAGTTACAAAGAACATTTCAAATGTAATTGCAGCTGAACGATCTAATGCTTCAAAACATAAAAACAGTGTTTGTTGGTTGGAAAATAATCTTTCAAAGTTATTTGATATATCAACATGCAGATGTGAACTTCCTCTTTTAAATTGTGATGACAGGTTTGAAGTTACATTTTCAAAAAGCCACAATATTAAACAATATGTTTGTTCAAACAAATTTGTGACTAAACTGTCAAGAAATTTTAAAGTTGTAATTTCTTCTCAAATTATGGGATTATATTTTATTTTACATATTACTCTTTAGAAATGTTCGATGCAAGGGTTGCTCTAACAAGCACTATGTATGTCTCTGTTAAGACAGCAAACAGGTTACTTGTTTTTTTGTATTATTATTTTTTATGCTTTTTATTATTTTAAATTCTATAAGCTATAAAATGAATTGTTTTAATTTAAGGTTCCAGTTCTAGAACGAGAGTATTTAAAGGATCAGAAAGCTAAGAAAGGGCCCTTTGGAACCTGGCAGATAGGCCAAATTGATAAGAAAGAGACAGCGAAGATCAAAAGAAAAAGAAGTAGCGAGAAAATTAATTTAACAAGTGACACGGCACTTTATTCAGATAATGATTGTATCAGTGAAACTTATGATGTGGAAATAGATAACAATGATGATTATAAAAATCAGAATCATGAGTTTTTTGCAAAACCACTGTGTAAAAAAATTTACACAGATTTAAATAACATTGCCAAAGCTGCTATCAGATTCGAAGTTAGTGACGCTGCAACATCTGCCATAGCAACTGCTACCTTGATAAACTATCAAATTATAACTCAGAATGACAGATCACAAATTATCACTGAAAAAAAGATATTTGACACTAAAAAGCGTGTTACAACCATGATTAGTGAAAAACACAGTTTAGAAGTTTTTCATTTGAAAGTCATTGGAGTAGATAGTAAAAAAGACAAAAAAACAGCACATATATTAGGATATGATCATTATGCAGAACCTATTGTTAATAGAACAGTAAAGGATGAACATCACTTAACTTTTACTGCAGAAAGTGGACCTTTTTCTAAGAAATATTTAACTCATATTGAAATAAAAAATGGAACAGGAATTACAATAGCAACCGAGACACTAAAAATACTCGAAAAATACAACAGCATTAGTAGTTTAGAATCCATTGTTCTTGATAATACTACTACTAATACTGGTGCAGATAATGGCTTAGTTGTGACATTAGAAAGGCTTTTAAATTGTCGAATCCATTTAATAGGATGTGTACTTCACCAAAATGAGTTACCACTTCGACATGTCATTTCTGAAGTAGATGGTAAAAGTAACGATCCAAAGAAATATAAGGGCCCTATTAGTCAAAAAGCTTCTGCAGGTGATTTGCATAATTAACCAATAGTTTTTTTTGTTCCAATTCATTCAGTGATTGATTCCTACGTAAACTTTAATATTTTATCTGATCATAGTACAGATCAACGAAAACTTTATGAATACTGCATTGGAATCGAAGCTAAATTAATTATGCCTATTAACTTTAACGCTGATACATGGAGTAGTTTAGTTGATGTTTCTTTAATTGAGGTTGAACCTCCAACTTGTATCATAATTTCATCATTTGAATTAGAGAATGCTTTGCAAACTTCTGAAAAACCTATTCTTACAGATTTACCTAACAGTTTCCAGTCAGTAGAAAGGTCCGTGAAGCTTGTATCAGAGGCATCAAAGATAGTTTATGGTCAAGTAAAGAGACAATTTTATTCTAACTAAAAACCAAAGCAGAGTAGAAAATAAATGGAATTCATCTAAAACTGATTACTTTATTCTTTTTTCTTGAGAAAATGTTTTTTTTTTTAATTTAATTTGGTTCACATACCTAAGTCGGAGGGTATACTTGACCTGACTACTGTCAAGAATTATTTTTTTTAAATGGCAAATCTCCCTTCAACCCTTAACTTCGAAATCACCCTTGTGCAGAAAAACATGTTGAACAGAGTAATTTCAGAAATAATTGGGGACCAAGGAAGCCAGAACCAAAATTAAAAAAAAAAAAAAAAAAATTTTAAATGGGGGAAGGGGGGTAACACTCTCGCTCCTCCGCCCCCTGTTCTTATACCAGTGTTTAACATTATGTAGCAAATATTCTTTCTATAATATTCAAATATTCTAATGGGAAGAATATTTATATCAAAGTTTGTACTAAAGTATATTAAATATTAAGAATGCCATAAAAATGAATAATTCATTGAAATCAAGAAAATACTTACAAACTTCAAAACCATTTCCCAAAATTATCCTTAATCCAATCAGTCTGAAATTTTCAGGATTGTCTTAAAATCATATGTACAATAAATCCCAAAGTGAGCCAATATGATCTGAGAAAAAAAGTATATTTTGGTAGTAGCTTAGTGCTTATCTTCTAAAATCTACACAGAAATTATATTAAATTTATAAGAACAGAATGTTTAAAATATAATACAATTTAAACACTCTGTTCTTATACATAAACAGTATATAATAAGAATACAATAACACTATTATTAATACAACTATATATATATATATATATATATATATATATATATATATATATATATATATATATATATATATATATATATATATATATATATATATATATATATATATATATATATATATATATATATATATAATATATACAGTTTATATATATATACAGTTTATTATATTATAAATATTTTTAGATATATATTTTTTATATATGTAGATATATATTTATATACTTCAAGTTAATCTTCTATAAACTTCATATAAATCTTGCAATATAAAACCATATACAAAGTATACTGTTCCTTTGTGGCATACTAATTTAATAAAATTATTACTTGCATTGCAGAGTTATGGAATAGATTTTCTATTTTTTTGAACTTGAAATATTTTTATGTAGAATCTTGGACAAGTTTATTCAGTTTAACTAAAATTAACTTATATGTAAAAATTATTTATGAACATTAAATGTCTCCAAAATAACTTTAAATGCTATAAAACACAAAATAAAAGTTCGAATTGAAATATAAATGATAATAATAACTACTAATAACAATAATAATAATAATAATAATAATAATAATAATAATAATAATAATAATAATAGTAATAAGTTATTCTTCTGACTACAGACAGTGGTCTAGGGACAGACATTTTAAATTTAATTTTAATCAAATATTCCTTTATATGTTTTGTTTAAAAATTAACTTGTTTTTCAAATTAATTTAAAAATATTGTTTTAGAACAAAGTTTAATTTCATATCTGATAATATTAATACGCTAATTTAATAGTAGTAGTTAATAGTCGACTTATGTCATTCTTTAGGCTTTTCTATTTTAAAGTAGTTTCTAGGCTTTCCTATACCCGGTTTTTTTTTTAATTTTATTTACTAGCAACCCGTATTACGGGTTGCTTACTGGTAGTTTTTATAAATATTCTTCAGGGTTTGTTGCAGATTCAAAAAATCAGAACCAATCAAAAGCATACTCTCTATACATTTTATTGGAGCACATAACAATATCAACATTTCTGCTAAAAATAATATGTTATTCCAAAGTTCATTAACTTAATTACTGAGGTTCTTCAGTGCTTGAATTAGTTTTAGTGATAAAGTTTGAAGTGAAGTGTAAACAATAATGGTTGGAATAAAAACAAATTTTATCAAATTGCAAAAAGTGCTGCAAAAAAACTTGTTTAGAAATGGTAAAATTGATATCATTTGCTTTGCTAGATTTTGCTAGAATTTGCAATCCCCATATTGGTTGATCATATATAGTTCTTTAATTGCCACATGTAATTGTGTTGTAAAAAGATTTATTGAGGTCTTTATGTCTTACATCTATTTCAACAAATCTTGTTGCATTAAATGCAAAGAAGTTAGGCGGATAACTATCAAGTTTTCGCCCCTTTTGTTTTATGTTTTTTTTAATTACTACAAAACTATTATTACAGTGGTGGCTCAAAAAATTAGAGCCACCTCGAAATTTAGACAATATTTGAGTTTCGACTGTGAAATTAATTAAAATACATACGGATGTCCAGTTTTTTTCATTTCGCATTGTTAATTACTTAGTTTTGAACATATTTTTACAATGACAACACTATTGAGCGGTTTAGAGTGAAGTTAGTTGCATTACTGGGCGGTAGTTGTGTTTCTGGCGGTTTTTATTTGTTGATTTTATATTTTTACACCAAAATTTGTTTATTTTACTATTCAACACTTATTATATACTCTATTTACAAGTAAGTTATCATTATTTTACAACTTTTTTATCATATTTAGGTAAATTTTGCAATTTTTTAAAATAATTGGTGTTTTTAAGGTATGGGCAAAGAGAAAGATATTTCTCCCACAAAACTAGGGCTTATTCAAGGATATTTGTCGAGTGGAAATCATTCCAACAGGCAAATTGCCAAGTGTGTGAATGTTTCCAGAGCAACAGTCGATAGGATTAAAAGAAAACTGGACAATAATCAATCACTAAAATTGAATAAAAGAAAAAATTGTGGACAAAATCGAATTACAACGCCTCGCACCGAAAGAAAAATAAGGGATATTGTGATAGAAAATAGAGGAAAATCGAAAAAAGTGCTTAAGGAAATCATAAACAATGAAGGTATAAGTATCAAAAGAAGTAAGGTCATCGCAAATGGCGGACGTATTTTTCTAACGGTAAAAAATAAATAAAAGATAAAGGATAAGATAAACAGTTAATTTTTCATTTTCAATTTGCTAAAAAGTTTTTTTAAATTGTTAAAAATCTGATTTAAATCAAACGCCTAAAAATAAAAATCAAATAAAAAAAAAAGAACTTCGAATTATTAAAAAAAAGAACACTTTAAACAAAGACAAGAACAAAGAAAAAAAAAAATAAAATAAAAAGAAAAGAAAGAAAGAGAAAGTAAAAAAGAAGAAAAAAAAAAAGAAGAAATAAATAAACAAACAAGAAAGAGAAGAACAAAATCAATTTTAAGAAGAATAAAGAAGATAGGTTATTCATTTATTTTCGCGATTTAGTTTGTAATTATTATTTTTTAATATAATTATTTAACTTATTTGTTATTTTATTATTATTATTATTATTTTTTTTTTTTTTTTTTTTCACTTTTTCACATATTTTTTAATTATTTATTTATCATTAATTATATTCATTAGTTCTAGTTAATAAGGTTTTCCCGTTATCTATCTAAGTTGTATTATCACATATTATTTATTTATTTATCATTAGATTATCTATTTAGGAAGTTTTGTTATATATTTTATTATATTTAAATTATTTTACTATATCTAATTTAATTATATTTTTTGATCATTATTATAACTTCATCATTATTATATATTCTTATACATTTATTTATTATGGATTTATATTATTTTAATTTTATCTATTGTTTATTATTTTATCTTAGTTATTAATTAATATTATAAATCTATACCCTTTATTTATAATTTCGGTAATAATCAACTACGTACTACTACTGAATACTGTTGCTGTTTATCCATTTACTGTTTATTGTTTGATTATTTTCTCTTTTAATTTTTTATATTTTCTGTTCTATAAACGGCTTTACCATCTATATCATGAAAATTTGTCACCATTGCAAGTTTTGCAATAAAAGAATAAAAGATAATCACAGAGCCATCCAATGCGATTGTTGCTCTTTTTGGGTTCATGCAAAATGTATTCCAGTTGACAAACATGCTTACAATATGCTTTCCAATGACTCTTCTGAATGGTTTTGCTCTAACTGCATATCAAACCATATGCCATTTGGCGTATTCACTGAATTTTTATCTATCCATTTTAATCCTCTCCTTGAAAAGTTAAGTCATGAAGCAAAAAATATTGTACTAATGGGCGATTTCAGCATAGATTTATTGAATTATAGAGAATCACAAGTCATTTCTAATTATTTTGAATCTTTGTGCTCTCATTCCTTATTTCCAACCATAATTCTTCATTCTTCCAACACGTGTAACTGCAAAAACTAAAACCCTTATTGATAACATCTTCATGAATTCATTTCCTACTGATATAGTCTCTGGTAATCTTACAATTTCAATCTCTGACCACATAGCACAATTCGTCTGTATTCCTAATAACCCACCCATTAAAAAAAAAGTAAAAATGTTTAAAAGAAGCTTTAAAAAATTTGATTCTGATTCTTTTATCCATGAAATTTCCGATATTAACTGGGAGCTTCTTATAAAAGACGATGATAACATAAACGAATCTATAAATTTTTTTCTTAAAACATTCGAAAAAATATTAGACCGATATGCTCCTTACAAAGAACTAACAAAAAACCAAATTAAACTTCAATCTAAACCCTGGATAACTTCTGGTATTCTTAAATCAATTTCTAATAAAAACATACTCTATAAAAAATTTACTAGATCAAAAAATGTGAATACAAAAAATATATTATTTACTAAATTTAAGTTATACAGAAAAAAAATTAGTAAATTGTCAAGGTATTCTAAAAAATTGTACTTCGCATCTTTTTTCAATAACAACATCAATAATGTAAAGAATACCTGGAAAGGAATTAAGGAAATCATAAACATCAAACCATCTACTTCTACTAAGTCTTTTAACCTCAAAATCAATGAAAATGTCATCTCAGATCATACCAGTGTTGCTAATATATTTAATAATTATTTTACGACTATTCAAGACGAACTACTAAAAAATACTGTTCCCTCTCAATGTGCTTTTGGCAACTTTCTTAAAATACCAAGTATAAATTCTTTTTTCATTGAGCCCGTGACTGAAAATGAGGTGGCGAATCTCATAAAAGATACTCTTAAAAATAATAAAAACCTTGGTCCCAATAGTCTGCCAACATTTTTACTAAAGCTGGTATCTCACATATTCTTTCAAATATGGTATTTTTCCAGGAGCTTTTAAGGTAGCCAAAGTAATTCCAATACACAAAATGGGTTCTTATCTAGACTACTCCAATTATCGACCTATTTCACTTCTTTCTAACTTAAGTAAACTATTTGAAAAAGCAATGTTCCAAAGACTCGAGCATTTTTTGGAAAAACATAAATTTATTCACTAATAGAATTAATAATTATTATTCATTAATAGAAATAACAGAGAAAATTAGACAAGCAATCGATAACAAACACTTTGCGTGTGCAGTGTTTATTGACATAAGAAAAGCATTTGATACAGTTGAGCACACAATCCTCTTAGAAAAATTGAAACACTACGGTATAAGAGGTATTCCTTTTCTCTGGTTTTCCTCTTATCTTTGTAAAAGAACACAATTTGTTTCAATTAATGGTATCAACTCAGGACTAGCTAAATCTTTTAATGGTGTTCCGCAAGGCTCGGTTTTAGGTCCATTACTTTTTCTTATTTTTATCAATGATTTAAATGTTTCTCTTAAATTTTTTACTGCTTATCACTTCGCGGATAACACCAACTTACTCCTAATTAATAAATCACTTAAAAAACTTAACAAAAAAATGAATCACGA